AAGATCACGCAGTTGCTGCAGATTTGACGGCTGCACATCTATGATGTGAATCTCCGGTTCCACCACATCCCAAAGGTGCTCTATTGGATTGAGATCTGGTGACTGTGGGGGCCATTTGAGTACAGTGAACTCATTGTCATGTGCATCAGAAGATGGGTACACTGTGGTTATAAAGGGATGGACATGGTCAGCAACAATACTCAGGCATGCTGTGGCATTGACACGATGTTCAATTGGTAGTAATAGGCCCAAAGTGTGCCAAGAAAATATCCCCCACACCATTACACCACCACCAGCAGCATGAACCGTTGATATAAGACAGGATGGATCCATGTTTCATGTTGTTGATGCCAAATTCTGAGCCTACCAGCCGAATGTCGCAGCAGAAATCGGGACTCATCAGACCAGGCAACGTTTTTTCAATCTTCTATTATCCTCAGTTTCTTGTTCTTAGCTGACAGAAGTGGCACCCGGTGTGGTTTTCTGCTGCTGTAGCCCATCTGCCTCAAGGTTGGACGTTTTGTGTGTTCAGAGATGCTCTTCTGCATACCTCTGTTGTAACGGGTGGTTATTTGAGTTACTGTTGCCTTTCTATCAGCTTGAGCTGATAGTCTGGCCAGTCTCCTCTGACCTCTGGCATTAACAAAGCATTTGCACTCACATAACTGCAGCTAACTGGATATTTTCTCTTTTTTCTGTCCATTCGCTGTAATCCCTAGAGATAGTTGTGCGTGAAAATCCTAGTGGATCAGCAGTTTCTAAAATACTCAGACCAGCCCACCTGGCACCAACAATCATGCCACATTCAAAGTCACTTAAATCACCTTTCTTCCCCATTCTGATGCTCGGTTTGAACTGCAGCAGATCTACTTGACCATGCCTACATGCCTAAATGCATTGAGTTGCTGCCATGTGCTGATTAGAAATTTACATTAATGAGCAATTGGGCAGTTGTATCTAATAAAGTGACCGGTGAGTGTATATTGACACGGTGCTATACATTAGAGATAACATAAATATATAGGTTAAGCATACAGTATAAACTCCTAATAATTTCTATTAACTATTTCTGTGAAAATAAGATAACATTATTTATACAGAGTGGTTTGAATATAAAAATGCACTTTTACAGTCTACTGCACAAAATTTATAAAGAATAGTAACAAGATATATAGCAATTTTAAACAAGTACAGTTTAATAATAATAATATAATAATATATACAGTGGTGCAGTAGGTAGTGCTGTCGCCTCACAGCAAGAAGGTCGCTGGTTCGAGCCTAGACTGGGTCAGTTGGCGTTTCTGTGTGGAGTTTGCATGTTCTCCCTGCGTTTGCGTGGGTTTCCTCCAGGTGCTCCGGAAGGGGATCCACTGCGGAAAACATCCGCTGCGTAACTGGATAAGTTATCAGTTCATTCCACTGTGGCAACCCTAAATTAGTAGAGGGACTAAGCCGAAAAGAAAAAAAATTAATGAATGAATAATATATACAGTATGCAGGTGAAGACAAAATTATTAGAAATTTTTATTCTTTTTAAAAATCATGTTTTGAATAAATACATTTTCACAGTATTTCATATAATCTTTTTGTTGTTCTGAAGAAAGGCTTTTATTTTATTTTGGCTAGAATAAAAGCAGTTTTTTTTAAAGTTTACAATAGCCTTCTTTTTTTCGATTTCCTACAAAAACAGACTACTGTTGTCCAATGACACTATTATAATAGAGTCTTGGAGAATAACTGGTAAAATATGATGTCATCATGGCTAAGAAGACTAAATAAATTATTTATTAAAAATAAGTTCTTAATAGTTATAAATTATGTAAGGCTTGCTGAAATATTTTGAAAAAATAACCAAAACATTTCATCAACAAAGTCCTAGTTTGAAAAGTACAACATATTCTACAGCAGGGGTTCCCAAACTTTTCAGCCCATGACCCCCACAATAACAATGTCAGTGACTCGTGACCCCCATTTTTCTCAAAGGTGGTCATAAATATACAAACATACAAATGTTGCACACACAACTATGCTATGCATGGACATATTGATAACACAAAAGTGCAACAGTCTAATAACCATCTACTTTTTAAAAGTAATTTAATTAGTTTTAACCTCAAACATCATACTTTTAATGTATAAGAGTGCCATATAGGTTGTCAGAAAGTTTAACCTGACCCCATAATTTCAATCTGCTGCAGCTGACACTATTGCTGTGTGGTTAATCTAAACACCCAGGGGTTGCACTCCAATGGAAAAAAATAAAAAATAAATAAAGGAAAGGCTGATAAAATGTATTTGTATGTTGTAGTTTCTTTAATGTATTCTTTAACTATCTTCTGTGGGTTATAGATAAAATATGGTGATTCTACGAGTTTAATCACATTTATTTGAGTTTGGAAATCACCAAGAGCCCCCTCGTTATTGTCAATTGTCCACTTTGGGAACTACAGCTCTAGAGAAACATGCTCAATCAGCTGAATGCAACAGGATAACATTTTAAACATGCTAATGCTGTCTCAAAATATCTTTATCTACATTATTTATAAAATAAATAGTTGTCTGACTCAAAAACTGGACCTCATTTTCCATTAACAATAACTTTAGGATTTTAAACATTTAAGAAGGTTTAATTATTCACTTTGAGCTTAGTCTAGATTAGTTTTCATTCAATTCAGCTATAGAACTTGTCTTTGGACTGTGGGGGTAACTGGAACACCTGGAGGAAACCCACACTAACACAAGCGGAACATGCAAACTCCATGCAGACATGCCAACTGGCCCAGCTGGGACTCAAACCAGCGACCTTCTTGCTGTAAGGTGACAGTGCTAACCACTGAGCCACCGTGCCACCCTTAAAAAGGTTTATGATTCATTTAATCTGTCTGACTTTCAAAACTTATGGTCCAGCCTCTAATGCTAATACTAAAGCACTGGGAATTAACTAATGTATAAAGTCACACGATCACATGAGGTCACAACAATGCTTCTTCAACACTCCACGTGTAATGGGAAATATCTGGCACAAAATAAATATTTTAAAAGCTCATTTATAACAATATTTATAACATCTCTCAATGTCCCTGAAAGTGTGTTCTGGTCAATAAACAACCGTCAAGCCAGCGGTGATACTTACAGTCCACTGAGGCATCGAGCTGAGATCTGTGCATTACTTTGAACTTGTGCCTTAATTGTTGGTTTTGAGAAGGAAAGAGGTCCAAAAGAAAGCACAAAATGAATCAAAACAATTCTTTGAAGCTGTTTTCGATAAACAAACAGTATGGACAGTTTACAGAAACATCTTGTTTTGAAACTATGCAGAGTACAGTATACTGATGGAAGAATTCCTGTCGTTTATATCAGTTTACAGTGCTGAAATGATGTGATGACCTGCAGAGTAACAAAGAACACTTGCCAAGATGAGCTTGTGAGCTACACCAGTGGTTCTCAAACTGTGGTACGTGTACCACTAGTGGTACGCAGGCTTCCTTCTAGTGGTACGCGGAGAAATTAAATATATTGTATACATGCTACACACATTTCATATCATATATGACATATAGCCTATATTTCTGAGGTAATCTGCCACGTTTTTAACTGCAGAGTTGTAGCTGCTTTACTGGGCCTACTACGCTACTGTATTTTAATACTGCTCATTTTGGTGGTACTTGGAGAGACATTTTTTTCTGAGGTGGTACTTGATGAAAAAAGTTTGAGAACCACTGAGCTACACTATAAAAATGACAATTTGTTTTTGCTAAAATGCATTTAAATGGTGCTAAATGGCACTAAAAGTGGTTCTTTGACTAGTAATCATATAGAAACTACTTTATGTGCTACATATGTTTAAAGATGGTGATTTTTAAAACCTTAACCACCCCAAGGAATTACTAAAGAACCATTAAAACCACGGCACCCACAAAAAAAAAAAAAAAAAAAAAAACACCTAGAGGTGCAAATTCAAAAAACGGATTAACCAATTGTGTGTGTATTTAATTTGCACAAATGGCAAGCTGGTTGAATATTTAAAGTGTTTTCTTTCCCACATTGTTTTTCCCACAGGTTGTCATACATAATCCAGTGTAAGATTAAAAGTCGATTTATGGTGCTTGAACTGCAATAAAGAGCTAAAGAGCTCGTCGAACAGTGATGCTCTGTTCACCTCATCATCTCAGTAGTTTGATAAACACCTCCCTCTAGAGGATATTATTGAAAACGATTTAAACAGAAGCATTACCGTTCAACATTAGAACTGAAACTGAAATGTATCGATGACTATTACAATAATTATATATTTTACTCATTTATTCATTCATTTTTTTTCGGCTTAGTCCCTTTGTTTATCCGGGGTCGCCACAGCAGAATGAATCGCCAACTTATCCAGCATGTTTTTACGCAGCAGATGCTCTTCCAGCCGCAACCCATTTCTTGGAAATATATATTATATTAATAATACTATAATAATATAATAGTGTGTGTGCGGATGATTATTAGATATTTTCAAGAACACAAGACTATTAGAATTAATAAAATTTTTTTTTTACAATTTCTCCTCTGGTGTGGGCTGATTATATATATATATATATATATATATATATATATATATATATATATATATATATATATATATATATAAACCCATTGTATCTTAATGAAAAACTACTTTAAAGTAATTACTGCAGTTACTTTTTGTAGGCCTGCATGGTTAAAATTCTGTTAGATGTCATGCAACATATTCATTCAAAAAGTAAAAGCCTAATTCTGTTTTTGCACAATACTAGTGGTAGAAATGATTTAGTTATTAAATATGGGAAATGTTAACACAAAAAGAACAAGCTATTTATCTATATAGAAACAGGATGCAGAAGAAGAGAACTGTGCAACAGAAAATTATAATAAGTAATTTTTTTAATAATAATTTATGTATTGAACGATGAAACCGAAATGCGAAACTGTTGACATTTCCAGGAATTGAAACTTAACCTGCAGCATAAAAGCTGTAGCATCCACCAGGAGCATCACTGGGAGACAATCATCGAGGAAAGCTCAGCATCTGGTATTTTGTTGTGTTGTGAAAAGAAGGGTTTATTTTTATTAACATATTGACATAGGACATTGATAATGGAGAAGATGAGTTACACGTTCAGTCAGCAATATGAGGAGAAAATTCGCCCTTGTATCGACACTATCGATAATTTACGGTCTCTGGGAGTCGAAAAGGACCTCGCGTTGCCTGCCATCGCCGTCATAGGAGACCAAAGCTCGGGAAAGAGTTCGGTTCTGGAGGCGCTGTCAGGAGTTCCGTTACCCAGGGGCAGTGGTGAGGGGAAAAGTTATATATATATATATATATATATATATATATATATATATATATATATATATATATATATATATATATATATATATACATAATTTTAAACAAAGTAAAATATGCATATAGCTATATTTAATTTATATTCAAGCTATATTAAACTTGAATATAGCTAAATTATATTGTGTTTGCATAATTAATAAGTACATTCTAACTAAAACGTTTAATGAACCAAAGGACATTGATACTACTCTCTACCCAGGGTGGCAAATAAATCGTCTCCTGGTTGTCCACAGTTTAGTTTCTCCAACTTAACATAAACGTTATTAATAAACTGAAACGAATGGATTGGTTGGAATTTGTGTTTTTATTAAAGTTGAACAACTGGGTTTGACACACCTAATTTCTGTATAACATTGAATGATTCACCAGGAATTTATGATGTGGCTGTCTGAGATGCAAGATGACGAAAGATTTTCTACCATTGTCAGAAATGTAGGATGACCATCTCACAATGTGTTTTGATCAGTGCGGCATGGTAACAGTGCTGAGAGCAGTATGACGTCATCTAGCTGTTATGGTAAAAGTATGACATCTAAATGATAACTTTTTGTCCAGGGATTGTTACACGATGCCCTCTTGAGCTCAAGATGATAAGGAGTAAAGAGGATGAGAAATGGCATGGGAGAATCAGTTACCAAAACCACGAGGAAGACTTTGATGACCCAGCGGAAGTGGAGAAAAAGATCCGTGAAGGTAGAAATGCAATTTAGGGTTGCCAAGGGGAGGGGGCGGGGGAGGGTTTATGTAAATTTTAGGATTTGTAATGTCACAAACCCAGGAGGAAGTCCAACTGAGTCATTTGCAGAACAACACAGAATCTGTCAGCAGACACCTGCAGATGTCCACAGAATTTTTGAGTCTGTCATTCAGTCTATTTTTTATTTATATATAATAAATATGTATTCAGTTTTAATAAAACAAATCTAATAACATGCAAAGGTTTAGATTTATGTCCAATACAGTTTTTAATATTATATCAGACACTGTTTTACCAGCTTTCAGGCCCCGTACTGAAATGCAAGATTCTCAAAAACTCTAGATTTGTAATAAAATAAAGCATGAATTCTACAAAAGAAAATATCTTCGCAACTTTGAGGGTTGTAGATGCTGGTAATGCGCAAACAGCAACATTATTACATGAACTCATGATTAAGGACACCGCTTGAATCTTTCATCTAATTGTGTTTGCAGCCCAAGATGAGATGGCTGGAGCAGGTGTTGGTATCAGTGAAGAACTCATCAGTCTGCAGATCACCTCTGCCAATGTTCCTGACCTCACTCTCATTGACCTCCCTGGCATTGCGCGAGTGGCTGTCAAGGGTCAACCTGAGAACATTGGAGATCAGGTAAACCTTTTACACCTAAAAAAAATCATTTTAAAAGTACATTTGGTCCATTGAGAGTGAGACAGTAACATTATTCAAATTTATTTTATCTAGATTAAGAGACTGATCAGGATGTTCATTACCAAGCAGGAAACAATCAATCTGGTTGTGGTGCCATGCAATGTTGACATCGCCACCACAGAAGCATTGCAGATGGCTCAGGCAGAGGATCCCGAGGGCGAAAGGACTTTAGGTGTGCATTACTGAGTGCACTTGTTATACAAAAAGAGTCCATCAGAATTGTAAAACCATTATTTGTCTACTACAGGCATCTTAACAAAGCCAGACCTGGTGGACAAGGGCACTGAAGGGACAGTTGTAGACATTGTCCACAATGAGGTCATTCACCTCACTAAAGGCTACATGATTGTAAGGTGCAGAGGGCAAAAAGAGATTATGGATCAGGTCACTCTAAATGAGGCTACAGAAACAGAGAGTGCCTTCTTCAAAGACCATCCTCATTTCAGGTGATTTAATAAAAATGTAATTATATATATATATATATGAAGTCAGAATTACTAACCCCCCTGAATTATTAGCCCGCCTATTTATTTTTTCCCCAATTTTTGTTTAACAGATTTTTTTTCAAAACATTTCTAAACAATAGTTTTAATAGCTCATTTCTAATAACTGATTTATTTTATCTTTGCCATGATGACTAAATAATATTTGACTAGATATTTTTCAAGACACTACCATACAGCTTAAAATGACAATAAAAGGCTTAACTACGTTAATTAGTTTAACAAGGTTTTTTTTAAGCAAATCATGTGATAACAAAATAGGTGCAATGTTAAAGCATAGATGGACAAACCAGTGGATTGACCACATTGTACATCTGAAATTACAGACATTCTAAAATACCTTTTAAAAAATTAAAAATTCATCAAAATCATAATTCCTAACCATCAAAATCCAGAACTGTGTGAAGCATATGCTCTTCCAAAGAGCATCTTACACCTCAAAAAGTCACCACACATTTATTATGTTCTGTCTTCATCTTCTAAGGTGCAAGTTATTTAATATATATATATGAATAAAGGCACCCACTGCCTTTATCTAATAAAGCAAACAAATTTTGTTCTTTTAGATATTTGATGTTTTTCTTCTCTTCAACTCATTGGATGGAAAAAAAATGTTATTCGCACATGTATCATGTATATGCTAGTTTTGCGCATAAATCTAATTCAAACCAGGACTGTTGTATCCAGCTACAGGTAACATGATTAAAACGTACATTAATGCATTTGGTAGACACTTTAACCCATTAAGAGACACATATTATCAGTTCATGCTTTTTTTTGGGGAACAGAGCCAAAGGAAGCGACATGATGTATTTGTAATGTCTTCTCCTAGGAAACTTTATGAAGAAGGTTTTGCTACTATTCCCAAGTTGGCAGAGAAACTAACAATTGAGTTGGTTCATCACATTCAGGTAAAATAATATATACTGACAAAAAAGACATTGAAGAATCTTTAGACTAAAAGTAACAATCATATAACCAATCTGTTATGCAGAGGTCCCTACCTCGTTTAGAAGAGCAAATCCAGACCAAGCTTGCTGAAACACAGAAGGAACTGGAAGCGTATGGTGATGGACCCCCGTCAGACCCTGCAGAAAGACTCAGCTTTTTCATTGATGTGAGTACAGCATCAAAATGCTTTATTAAAGTGTAAACAACATCCCCCAGTAATTAAAATATTTGACATTACTGAATTTAGAAAGTTACAGCTTTTACATGTGACACTCTCAACCTGACGACTGGAGAGGAGGTTAAATCCGCATCAAAACTGCTGATTTTTCCAGAACTTCGACAGGAATTTGCCTATTGGAATAGCTTCTTAGACTCTTCAGGATATTCTTGTAAGTACAGCAAATAATGTACTTGACACCCAAGTTTTACCTTCTAAAATTTGCTTGAGACTATTTTCATCTGTTATGCTTTCCTGTGTTGTTATAGTTTCACTGAATGACTAAATTAACATTTTATTAACAAGTCCTTATTAGGCAGAAATAACTCAAAAGTTATTCATACAGTGCATGCGGAAAGTATTCATATCGCTTCACTTTTTCCAAATTTTTTTATGTTACAGCCTTTTTACAAAATGGATTAAGTTAATTTATTTCCCAAACATTCTACACACAATAATCCATAAATGACATAATCACATGTACATAAGTATTCACTACCTTTGCTGTGAAGCTTTAAATTGAGGTATATTCATGATTTGAAAAGGCATACACCAGTCTATATAAGGTCCCAGGGTCGACAGTGCATGTCAAAGCACAAACCAAGCATGAAGACAATGGAACTGTCTGTAGTCCTTAGAGATAGGATGGTCTCGAGGCACAAGGCTGGGGAAGGTTACAGAAACATTTCTGCTGCTCTGAAAGTTCCAATGAGCACTGTGGCCTCCATCATCTGTAAGTGGAAGATGTTTGGAACCTCCAGGACTCTTCCTAGATCTGGCGGGCCATCTTAGATGAGTGATCTGGGGAGAAGGGCCTTAGTCAGGGTGGTAATCAATAACCCGATGGTCACGCTGTCTGAGCTCTAGCGTTCTTGTGTGGAGAGAAGAGAACCTTACAGAAGGGCAACCATCTGTGCAGCAATACAACAATCAGGCCTGTATGGTAGAGGGGTCAGACGGAAGCCACTCCTTAGTAAAGAGCACATAGCAGCCCACCTGGAATTTGCCAAAAGGCATCTGAAGGACTCTCAGACCATAAGAAACAAAATTCTCTGGTTTGATGAGACTAAAACTGAACACTTTGGAGTGAATGCCAGATGCTATGGAGAAAACCAGGCACCGCTCATCACCAGGCTAATACCATACCTACAGTTAAGCATGGTGGTGGCAGCATCATGCTGTGGGGATGTTTTTCAGCAGCAGGAACTGGAAAACTAGTCAAGATAGAGGGAAAGATGAATGCAGCAATGTACAGAGACTTCAGAGTGCTCTTGACCTCAGACTGGGGTGACAGTTCATCTTCTGGTAGGATAATGACCCAAAGCACACTGCCAAAATATCAGTGGAGCAGCTTCACAACAACTAGGTGAACGTCCTTGAGTGGCCCAGCCAGAGCCTAGACGTAAATCCTATTGAACATCTCTGGAGAGATCTGAAAATGGCTGTACACCGTCAGTTCCCATCCAACCTGACAGAGCTTAAGAGGTACTGCAAAGAGGAATGAGCAAAATTTCCCAAAGACAGATGTGCCAAGCTTGTGGCTTAATATTCAAAAAGACTTGAGACTGTAATTGCTGCCAAAAGTGCATCAACAAAGTATTAAGCAAAGGCTGTAAATACTTACATACATGTGTTGTTTCAGGGTTTTTTTTTTTTAAATAAATTTGCAACAATTAAAACAAAATCACATTGTCATTATGGAATATTGTGTGTAGAACCTTGAAGAAATAAATTTATTTAAATTATCTTGGTATGAGGCTGTAACATAAAAAAAAAATGTGAAAAAAGTGAAGCGCTATGAATACTTTCCGGATGCACTGTGTATTTTTAATTGATTTAGTATTGAGATCTAGCAGTAACAGTGCATTTTTTCTGCTTAAATGAGCAATTTACGCACAGCAGCCCATACGCATCAAATCCTCAGCATGTCTACAAATTTTAATCATCACGCTTCACAGAAACTTTTTATTGTATTAATGCAAACATGAGAGCGTCTTCTGACAATACTCATAAAACCTTTGCAGTCAAACTGAAGATTGAAGAAGAAGTTGATAACTATGAAGTGAAGTACCGGGGACGAGAACTCCCAGGTTTCATCAATTACAAGACCTTTGAGGGCCTTGTCAGGGAACAGATGAAGTTGTTGGAGGAACCTGCGTTAAAGATGCTGAAGAACGTCTCTGGTTTGTTTTGTTCTGTATATTTTTAACAATATCCTATTTATTCCCACAGTTTCTTAATTAAAAATGTGGTCTTCACCTTTGGGATAAAAACTTTTGCCACCTAGAAGATAAATATCACCGGAAAAGGGATGGTTTAACCAAAAATGTTACAACCCTTTATGAGTTTTTTTTCTTCTGTTAAACATAAAAGAATATATTTTGAAGGCCTAAATCAGGGGTGTCCACTTATGGTTGTTTTCATTTAGGTCAAGGGTGACAAAACTCGGTCCAGGAGGGCCAGTGTCCAGGAGAGTTTAGCTTCAACGCTAACCAAACACACCTGAACCATCTAATCAAGCTCTTGCTAGATACTGTACTAGAAGCGTCCTGGCAGGTGTGTTGAAGCAAGTTGGAGCTAAACTCAGCAGGACACTGGCCCTCCATGACCGAGTTTTGTCACCCCTGGCCTAAATGCAAGCAACCATAAGTTATTCAGGGTAGATTTTCCCTCTCCAAAACATGACTTAGCAGATAATGCAGTGCAATTTCTCTTGACATTTGGAAAACTGGATTCATTGGACAATCAAGTTTGCAGGTAAAAGGTTGCAAAAGGATTGGCATTAACAGGGTGTCAGCGAAGGGTCTTAAGTATTAAAAGCTGATTTAGAGAAATACAAGACCCTTTAAAAAGTAATCAAAAGTCTTAAATGCAATTTTGCAAGGCATTCAATTTTGTATCATTTTGGATTATAAAATCTATTGCTGCATGATGAAGTTGGCGAATATCAGGATGCTGTGTAGTTTATGAAATAGACTAAATTCTACTAGATTTGACGTCTATGTTTTGTTTACTGCAGCAACAAAGTCAACATTAATTTTTCCACTGTTCTATAGGTGCCACCTGCTGGATTGTCATTTGTATTCATCAAATAACTAATTAATTAATTCTTCCGCTTAGTACCTTTATTCATCAGGGGTTGCCACCATACCTCACAACACTCCTGTTTTTCAGGGAGTCTCCTGTATTTCAGACCCATCTCCTGTTTTGTTTTGTCTCCCAGAAAACTCCTGGAATTTCACCCACCCCCCCTTTTGCTTTTTGGTACAGTCCCCAGATTTCCGACCTTGGTAATACTGACCAGGGACCCCAGTCTTCAGTTTGCGACCACTCAACAACGACCCCTCCTTCCCCCGCTCTTCAGTTTGCTACTTTGCGAACCCCACCCAACCACCCCCACTCTTCAGTTTGCAAACCAAATTAATGAATCGCTAACTTATCCAGCATATGTTTTACACAGCGGATGCAATTTCAGCAGCAACCCAGTAGTGGGAATCATCCATACACACTCATTCACACACTTACACTATGGACAATTTAGTTGAATTTACCTACACCGCATAGACTCCACCGCTTTAGACTGTGGGGGAAACTGGAGCACTGCACCACGCCAAGATTCGAACCAGCGGCTTTCTTGCTGTGAGGCGACAGTGCTAACCACTGAGCCACCGTGTTGCCTGCAAATGAATACTGTTTTTAGTAAATGTACTGCAAGTTAAAATGTCGCCAAGTTATGGGTTGAAACCTAAAGTGGTAATGAGGTCTTAAAAGGTATTAAAATTCACTCTCCGATTCCTGTATATCCTAATTAACAGTGTGCTTGTTTCTACATAGACATGGTTAAAAAGAAGTTCATCCAGTTGGCCCAGAGCAGCTTCACCGGTTTTCCTATTCTTCTAAAAATAGCAAAGGTATTTTTGTGCGCGTGTGTGTGTGTTTAGGTCAATGTTTCTGCTAGTAGACATATTCCAACACTCAAATGTTCATATTAATCTACATCCTTTTACATTTTTACCAATTTACTGAATGTTATTACATTTGAATAGCACTAGCATGGGTGTCAAACTCAGTTCCTGGAGCTCTGCACAGTTTAGCTTTAACCCTAATTACACCTGATCAAACAAATTGAGTCCATTAGTCTTGTTTAAAAGCTATAGGTAACTGTCTTGAAGCAGGGTTGGAACTAAACCGTTCAGTTGCTGGAAAGCCGCAGATCTGCAGTTTAGCTTTAACCCTAATAACACCTGATCAAACGAATTGAGTCTTTTAGTCTTGTTTGAGACCTACAGGTAAGTTTGTTGAAGCAGGGTTGGAATTAAACTGTGGGCCTCAAGAACTGTGTTTGTCATCCCTGCACTACTGTGACACATTTAGTTTACTGATATACTTAAATTAGTTCAACTAAATGTGTTTTGTAAAACTTTGTATACATTCCAAGACTAAGATCGAAGCCATCAAGCAGGATAAAGAGTGCTTGGCGGAATCCATGCTGAGGACTCAATTCAAGATGGAGCTCATAGTTTACACTCAAGATGGCACATACAGTCAGAGCCTACTTCGCTCAAAAGAAAAGCGGGAAGAGGACGAGGAAGACACAGAAAACTTTGACTGCATGACTGTAGGGATTGCCACAAGCAATCATGCTACTTTGAGTGAGATGAAGCTGCATCTCGAGTCCTACTACATGGTAAGAGTTTCAGCTAAAGCTTTTCTGCAGATTAATTTAAACTGTAATGCACAGCTATCTGAGGTGCGGTCTTATTTATAACAGATTGCAAGCCAGCGTCTAGCTGATCAGATCCCAATGGTGATCCGCTATCTGCTGCTGCAAGAAGCCGCTTTGGAGCTGCAAAGGAGCATGCTGCAACTGCTGCAAGATAAAGACGGTGTAGACGACATGCTTAAAGAGGATTTTGACATTGGTCAAAAGCGGGAAAACTTACTGAGCCGCCAGAAACGTTTAATGAAAGCACAAAACCTCTTGGCTACCTATTAGGATTCTCTTCATAGTCAATTATAACTGTTTTAATGCTACAAATTATATATAGCTTGAAAAATGTAGCACATGGAACAAACGTGTAAACTTGCACGCGATATTTGTTGAAGAAACATGCAGAGATGTAAATATTCTTTGCAGCAATCTGCATATGCGTAGCTTTAAGAGCTCAAATGTTGGTTATTTTCATTTATATTCATTAAACTGGTTCTTTCAGCTTAAATAATTTAGCATTGTATTCATTTATTCAATCAATCGCAAAAGCATTTAATAACCTTTTCAACAATTTGTATACGAATGTTATTTATTCATTAATTGATCGGACATTTTAGATTGTTCTATGTTAATCAGTGTATCTTTCGTCTATTCCATATCCGTTTTCTACGGAGAGCTAGAAGGGACGTGATGGTGGGAAAAAAATAGGTGAAAGAAAAAAAACTGGGTGGGAGGAAAAAAAAAAAAAACTGTGTGATAGGAAAACAAATTCTTTTAAAGTTTTTGCATTCTCTCGCAAAGATGTTTTTCGTTATCTTGCAAAACAACCGTCTTTTCCACAACCGTGTTCTCTTCATTCATGTCAACCCTCCCATGTTTGCCGAAATTTTCCTATATTTTACCATTCTATCCCACAATCATCCTATCATTAAGTATTTTCCCATATTTCTCATATATTTTTAATATTCCACCATCACGTCCCTTCCAGGTCCCTGTAGTTTTCAAAAAAAAGGCAAACTAAGAAAACAGCCATTTTTCATTTTTTTCTTTCGCTTACAAAAACAAAAACAATTAAAAATGAGATTTTGGCTCAATTTTCACTTTTGGTTTAGGGTAGGAAAATGGATAAAAGACTTTAAAATTCATTATACACATATAGGCGGTGCTGAAACGCCCGTTTTCCTCTGATTGGTCAACCAAATTTAAGCTTGTTACGTCCCCCTCAAACTAAGTCCTATATATATATATATATATATATATATATATATATATATATATATATATATATATATCCCTGAGACCCCCCCTTTGACTTGTGTCCTCTGTAGTGGACGTTGGGTTTTAATGATTTTTCTTTGAATTTCTTGAGCTACTCTGTCAAGTCCTGTTGGACTGTTCAGAGGACATCCTGGGCTTTCTAGTGATGTGTCATTTAATTGGCTGGCATGCTAGGAACCACTTTTTACACTGCATCCAAAATGGTCGACATACAAACAAGCACATTTTATGGTATGGAGAGGCATGTAAAATTGAGTTTTTAAAATGTTTTTTTACTATTATTATTACATATATATTTGTTTATATTAAAGTGTCAGAAACAATACATTTAGCTTTCAAAGCTGTTAAATTGTTTGTGTTTCAAAATATTATCCTTTTTTAAATGTCCACTATAGTGGACACTGGACCATCCTAATGTAATTAATGACTGCATGTTGTAGGAGGCAGAACTGAAGCCGAGAGGACTCTTTTTAAGATAGTTGAGGGTGACTCTGATTTAGAGTCTGACAATTAGGGAATGACAATCAGTTTTAAATCACTTTTATGTTAAATTTGTTTTGGATTTACATCACTTCTTTTGTTGTTTTTGTTTAGTTTTTTCTCTTTCAGACTAAACTGTTTCAGGAATTTCGAAACAAAAGGATAAAATAACTTTTGTTTAGTTTTTTGTTACATTAATATTGGATTATTAGCCCTTTACAGGCATATCCTGTACAGTTTTGTTGTCTGAGTTTGGCGGTCGTTTTAAACTAAAATGGTCCTTTGGTCCACTACAGTGGACATGCTGTAAAAATAAAAACAAAATGTATAAACTCTAAATTGTAGAATTTTTTTTTTAACCCAAAGGATCTATATACACTATCCTCCTGAGACCCAAATATTTTTTTTCTTTTTTTCTGTGATTTCTTACATCCTTTTAGTTGAAAAAAAAGAAAAAAAAAAAAAGATAAGTAGATCATTCAAATAGGAGAAAATAAAATAAAAACAAAGGGTATAGCCATAGGGCCCAATGTGTTCTTATTCTGGTCCTGCTAACAACTATTTAAAAAAACTGAACAGTAAAAAACATTCAATAAACAATATTAATTATTATTAGCCTGTTGTTATTATTATTATTATTTAGGCCAAGAGTTTGCTTGTAGTCTTTGTTGTACCTCAAGGGGAAATTTTCTGTGAACACACAGAGCACTTCAGCAAGTTCTGTCAATAAAGAAAATGATAAAATAAGCAACCCTGTAAAGGGATTACATACAAGAATAACACATGCGCACTATCTATCAGCATTCACAGTCTGATTGACACTGGATTAAGGGTTAAAAGAGTTATTAAGTCTGTTCTTCTTCCAACAGAAGGTTTTGTATTTTCTACCAGAAGGTAAAAGATCATAAAATAGGACGAGTACATGGGATGGATTGTTTAAAATGATTTTCACTTCATTTAAAGTGCATTTCTCGTAAAGTGTTTAAATACTTGTAAAAGTTTTTGAACCTATTAGTCTCATAGCAATTCTGATATTAACATTTTTTGATTTCAGATTTACAGAAAGATTGCCATTCCATGTAGATAGACCATGATGACTCTCAAATACAGCCTAATAAAATATGTAAACAAATTTCTTGCCAACATCATAAAACCGTAACCTTCCTAGGTATTTGGTAAAGCTTTTCACAAATCCAATTCATGTGAGTGTCCCATGTTAGAGACCTATCTATGTATCAGTAGCTCTGAAACAATCATGCAAACCAGGTGCTGCTCAGAAATTGTTCTCTTTGCTCAGCATCAGGTGCACGGCAGCAAGAAGTTTGGCGATTAAATAGCCATATTATTAATAATTAATGTTATTTTAAGCTTAGTTCCTTTATATTATTATTGTTACTTGAAAGCAATCAGTTTCTGCAGATTTTGTGTCATACGAACATTTAGATCCTACAGCCTGAATACAGAAGTGAAAGCATACCACATGGTTAAGAATTAATTTTTCCTGTGCCTGAACAACATTGGTGGTGGATAGACCATTACCATTTCTTGCCCGAAAATGTAGTCAAAGTAGTAAAAGTATCTGTTGTAAATATTACTCAAAGTACGAGTAAAAAGTTGCCATTTTAAAAGTACTCAAGAATAGTGAGTACACTGTGAAATGCTATTGAGGTTACATTTGATTCGTGCATGTGAGTATAAACGTAACATTCTGTAGTGCATTTAGTGATTAAGACTGTTTGCTGGTTTCAGTCATCATACAGTAAGCATCCGCCACCATCCTCTCATCAGTGACATGCAGTCTAAACGGTCCCTGTATCATTGTGTGTGAAGATTTTAGACATCAAGTGGTTTGCTGCATTTATAAGCACCCTTGTCTTGAGGTTGTTTAGTATGATGCGATTTACTGTCCATGTGTGATTTGATTGGACAGGAATAACAGAACTGATTTTTCCACTCAGCCAATCTCCATAGACAAGAAAAAATAAAGTTATGACTGCAGTTTGAGGGAAAATAGTGGAGTAAAAGAACATACAGCACTCAAGCTTAAGTGCACATTTTTAAAACTACTTAGTAAATTACAATTGCTGGGAAAAAAGTACTGAATTACAGTAATTTGAGTATTTGTAATTTGTTACTTTACACCAATGAACAACAGAAACGGTCAGAAGACCTGCAAGTCAACAGTGATGTTCTGCATGGTCACCGCATCATCTCGGTATCTGATTATGAATAAACAGCCCCCCCTAGAGGGTGATATGAAGAAAACGACTTAACAGAACCTAAGCATTGACTGACCAGTCTTTGGCATTGACTCAGACATTTACAGAGAAAATTGAATTGAATGGTCATTGTAAAAAGTTTAAAAAATAATATATTAAATCTCATTATAAATAAATCCACTGAAAGTATATGCAAAATATGTGCATCAACATCTCTCTAAAAACGACTCTAAAAATTTCTTTATTAGAGAAATGCGTCATTTGTTACCAAGTCGTTTGCTTTGGCGAGTTTGCACAAACAATTTTAGTAAAATGGTTATCCAAGTATCTACACTGAATCCAAGCTAAACAGAACAACATACGGAAAATACGGTACTCAGAGTCGCTACAAAGACAATATAGGCTAGGTGTTTTTCCATCTACTGAACAATGAATTCTTACTGAATACCATTGGAGAAACGAAACCATTGTGCTTTGCAGGAAATGAAACTTACTGATCCATGCGCGCTCCTCCTAGCATTCACTTTACCGGTAAAGCAAGCCGAGCATCATTAGTTCAGACAGTCGGGTAATCTGAAACTTTGTTGTGATAAGGATTTGTCTTTGGACATTATTAAGGATGGAGAAGTTGAGTTACACGTTCAGTCAGCAATATGAGGAGAAAATTCGCCCTTGTATCGACACTATCGATAATTTACGGTCTCTGGGAGTCGAAAAGGACCTCGCGTTGCCTGCCATCGCCGTCATAGGAGACCAAAGCTCGGGAAAGAGTTCGGTTCTGGAGGCGCTGTCAGGAGTTCCGTTACCCAGGGGCAGTGGTGAGAACAACACATTAAAAACAAGACATATATATATATATATATATATATGTATGTCTTGTTGTTACAGACTATAATTGTTTGGCATTTGTGTATGTACTTCATAGTAAAATCACGGAGAGGCCGCTAAGGTCTAAGAATGCAGGATGACTTATTCATATAAAGCGGTTACAAGCTCTGTGATGACAAGACAACGTTGACAATCAGTGGCCCTACACATATCCATTAGGGATTTAATTTGGCAACTAAAATATTGCTTTTATGACATTATCTGTAACTGTTACCAAAACATGAATGCATTTTTTTATCATTTGTTATAAGCCCTACAAGTTTACCTACCTTTTTGCAATAGTTTAATTATTCTAGTTTAAAACTACTTGCAATAGTATCTGAATGGATATGCATATGCAAGTTGAGACAAGCAATCAAAATTGCACTCAATGGAGCTACTGACGTCACTGTGATGGGGTATGGTTAGGGTTAAAAAGAATTGCATGCAGCTCAGCCTGCAGCTGCACCGGGTCTACATTTGTGACATCACTGTACAGTCTAGGTTAAATGAATAGTTTACCTAGAAGTAGGCATGGGACAATACCTGTTTTCAAGGTATACCGCAGTTCGGAAAAGTCAATGTTCTAAAACATTTTTATTTAAGTTTTAGGACAACAGTATCTCCAGCAGAAACAAATATCCAAAGATGCCATCTTAAATTG